GGCTCCGGCGCCGCAGGGAGAGAGGGAGGGGGGGAGGGAGGCTACGACGGGGCCAGCTCGGATGCACAATCTGCAACAGCAGCCACGGCTCCGCGGCGCGGTACCTGAATGCCTGCATGACTGCACAGGTAGAAGTCGAACTCAAAGGGGTGGGTGATATTTGTATCCACTGTTGTTCCTGCTGGGATGTTCCCGCTCTTCCCAATCTACAGGGAATAGAAAGAGAGATCCAAGCGCTGCAGAGTTTGGTTATTTCCAGCTGCCCAGAGCACCGTCCGTAACACACGTGCCCTGCCCCAGGGCCATGGTGCAGGGTCCCCATCTCGCAGCTCAGCTGGCGAGCACCATGCAGAGCCGCTCCCCCAGTGCCTGTTCACTGGAGACAGAAGCAGCTTATCCTGCTCTGCTCCCCGCCCGAACAGGCTTGCTGGCATTTTCCACAGGCACCAACACCAGACGTGACACGGAGATCCAGCAAACAGCATCAGCAGGACAGCAGGCAGGGCGAGGGCTGGGCACCGGCCCATCCCACTGCAGAAACGAGGATTAAGTGAGCAGCACTCCAGGAATCTCTGCAGAGCATATGCTAGAGTCTCTGCCCTGAGATGCTGGGGCTTCTACACCCTGATCAAAAACCGTCCTCAGTTCCCAAGATTAAATCTTCATGCTTAGGTAGAGCCAGAGCTTGGTTAGACTAGACCTAACCGCTAAATTCAGACTGAGTCTAGGAAAAGCTACAGCAATCGGTGTTACTGCACAGCAGAGATGAACAAGCTGTGAGCAAGAGAGGGGTTTATCATCCTGTCGCGTCAGCGGCTCCAGCTATCACCAAAACAACAGATGTTTTCAAGCTGACAGAGGCTATTTCAAGAGAGTCACCAGGATCATCAGCACCCAGTAACTCATAATAACAGCAAACAGCTGTCTGGGTTTCTGGAGGCTGCCTAATCCGCACGGATGCGGGACTCAACCAAGCAGCACGTTTCATTGAGAAGAGCTCTCTGCCTGCCAGCGGCGAGCTTCCCCCGGCGCAGTCAGGGCTGGCTCGTCCTAAAGGCCAGGGATGAATCAGCTCCGGCCCCGGCCCCCCGCAGCACTCACCCTCTCGTTCTTGTCTGCGCAGAAGAGACGGGTGTGATGCCTTTTCTGGACGACGATGTAGGTGATGCCAGGCTGGTAATCCTTTTCCAGTTTGATGCAGGCGTCTCGGATTGCTAGGAGCTCATAGTGAAGGATCTGGAGAGACAAGGGTGGGCAGTGTGAGGGGACACAGGGGCACCCAGCGGCCCCCTGCACCCTCAGGGAACCCCGCGGGAGCCGGTGCAGCCGACGGGGATCCGAGGGGTCCCCACCTGCGGGAGCTGCCCCTCAGGAACGCCGTCGCGGTAGAAAATGATCCTGGTGGGTTTGAAGCGGGTGGATTTGTAGAACTGGATGAGGAGCTCCCTCACCATGTAGGACAAGTCCTCGATGATTTCCTGGCGAGGCCGCTGGACGCGCACGGTGGCACAGTACCGGCTGGGGTGGGCGTCCATGCTGCCCACGACCTGCGGCGACAGAGACGGGCCAGGCCCGCGCGTTACAACGGGAAGGACGGAGGGGACACGGGATGTTCCCGGCCTCCGCCTGCTTCCGACACCCACAGCCGGCAGCGGGCAGAGCACCCGAGCTCACGGACCAGGGGACGGGACAGCAAATACTGCACAGGCAACCAGAGCCCAGAAGGGACATCCCTGGCCACCGCCACGCCCCGGTTTCACGCTCTGCTGTGCCCTTTGCAGCATTTATGGGAATTTCCATGTGAGACAACTTGGCTGGTGCCACTGAGCGACGTGGCTGTGGGGGCTGCTGCTGTTCTGCCCCCGCTTCGCTCCTCCCGCCCAGCAGCAGAGGGGTGACGGGGGAGCGGGGCTGCCCTTTCCACCTGCCTAAGCCCTTCTCCCTCCATCCCTCACTCGAGAGGTTTTTCCTTCCACAAAGGACTGTGTGACCCCAAACCTTGGTCTGCTGTCCTCATCAGGGCAATGACACCCCCGGGGTACAGTGACACCCCAGGGGTACAATGACACCCCCGGGGTACAATGACACCCCGGAGACCCTCTGCCCAAAAGGTGCCTGAACCAGGTCAGCGTTGCACGGAGCATCTCCCGGCATCACAGCCCTGCGCTGCCCCTCGCTCGGCCGCAGGCAGTGGAGCTGCCCCAGCCGGCCGCGGGCTGTGCTGCCGGCGCTGGAGGACACGGCGCGGTTGAGCCGTCGAGCGGGGAGTTCCCAGCGCAGGCGGACGCACCGCAGGGGAGACCTCAGAGACGTCAGAGCACGCAGGCCGAGAGCAGCCGGGCTTGGCCGTGACGCCAGGCTGGGGGCACAGCCTGAGTCACGGGCGTCAAGGCAGATGGTGGCCCACGCTGGGAGACAAACGCCTGTCTGCTTCGCTGCACCGCGGGCAGCGGGGACTTCCCCGTGTGGGTCCCCGAGCGGAGGGGAAGCACCCCAGACCCCACACGCCCA